GCCTTGGGTCCGGAGCTGCGGCCCCATCAGAACTGCCAAACCCGCCCCTGACCGCCGCCGGCTTCAGCCTCCGCGGCGCGCAGAACTGTTCTTCCGCTTGGCGCTGAATGCCTCGTGCCCGTGGGCAGCGAAAGGCACTGGGGCGCGAGCGGGCCCCGTGGACCCCGCCGCCTCCGTTCCCCTGCAGGGGACCTGGACATGACCCGGGCGCCGCGCCACCGGAAGGGGGACAGGGACGCCGGCGGGAAGGGGTGGGCTCGGGGCACCCAGCAGGTCACCCCCGCGAGCAGCTGCGGCCCCGCGGCTGAGCCACGTGTAACATGCGGGTGCCTTCCAGCCGGGGCGGAGAGCGGCGGACGCGCGAAGACTCCTTTGCTTTACTAAGCCCGAGCCTTGTGCAGGGGCGTCAGGGGAAGGGTAGGAGGCGATGGGTCTGAAAGCCGCCAAGGGCGCCACTGCCCTTCGCCAGAGGGGTGGCGCTCGCCCCTCAGATGACCAGGCTGGAGGGTCAGGCAGGGCCCAGCGCCCCAGCTAGGCGCTCGCCCTGAGCGCACCGGCGGAGCCGGGTGGGGAACTGGCTGCCCCTGAGCCGAGCCAGTGCCGCCAGTGTTGCATAGGACGGGCCCCTGAAGGTCTGGGCGGTTCTTACCGAATGCTCTTCTTGCTAAATGTTCAAATGTAGCAGAGTGTTTTGCACACCAGCCTTAAACTGGATAAGCTTGACGGGAACCCTACCGCGTAAGCGCAGCCAACTGCACAGAAGAAACCAACATGTAATTCACCAAACTGCGGATAAGCGATGGCTAAGCCTCCCTTCAGGGAGGCAGAGCGCTGGACATGAATCCCTGTCTCCTTTACTTGCTACAAGTAAATAAAACTACCTCGGTACAGCCACGTGAAGTTCTTGAATGGATCACTCCAAATGGTGAACCCCTTGAGTTTGGTACCAATGGAGGACTCTGCCTCTCTGGGGCCTGCACCTTCCCCCCATGGAGGGGCACAAGGAACTTGGGACTTTCTTTTTTTTATATATATATATTTTGCCATTCCTTCCCTTGAAGACAAAGTCCAACAGACAATTAGGTGATACCCTAGAGTGGGTTGTGATCAACCTGAGGGCAGTGGGTAAGAGTTAAAGAGCATGTAAAACTAGCCTGGGCCAAGCTGTCTAGACCCTGACCCTCTGTGAACTTCTACTTCTCCAGCCAGATCTAGGGTCCCTTTCAGCTTAGTTCTGTGATTATACTTTTGATTAGAAATATTAGCTGGAATGCAAACTCCTGCCCACATGCTGCACTCTGCTCTGGGGAGGCCAGGCCTTGCCCAGATGATCCGTCTGACCCAGATGGTGAAAGAGGCAAGGGAAGGTAGGTAATGCTCCCCTGCTGCCTGCAGGCAAACTCTCGGGGTGGCCCTGGGCCCTGGGTCTGGGAGTCAGCAGGCCTGAGTCATGAAGTCCGGTTACTAACCTGGATTTGAGAATATAAACCTGTGGTGACTAAACCTGGCCTCACTCAAATGCATTGGCTTTGTGCGTGTTTTCGGTAGACTTGATTCTCTTGCTGTTTTTTCCTTAGAGCAGATGCAATGGATCCTTGTAAACTCTGTGATGCCCAACACCTAGAAGCTGCCCTGTTGTGGAGATGATTTTGTTTTGTTTTTGTTAACCCTCACCTGAGGATGTTTTTTCCATTGATATTTAGAGAATGTGGAAAGGTGGTGGTGGGGGGGGGGGAAACTTCGATATGACGGAGACACATTGATTGGTTGCTTCCCGCACTCACCCTGACCCTGCCGGGGATCACACCTGCAACCCAGGTATGACGTGCCTTTGACCGGGAATCGAAGACTCAACCCTTCAGTGCCCAGGCCGGTGCTCCAACCACTGAGGAGAACACCGGCCAGGGCTGGACATGAGGTTTTAGTGTTTGGCGCAGAAGCAGTAAAGGAAGTGAACAAAACCACAAAAAAGCACATAGGACATTGCCAGTAAGATGTGTGTCCTTAGACGCCCCACGTAAGTTCTGGGACCAACTGCAATTTTATTAGCTGCTCTCGTCCTCTGGTTCATTTTGAAGCCCCGGACATCGCTTCCCTCCCTGGGTCTCGGAATCTTTTTTAAAATACTCTCTGTGATGATGGGACTGGATGGAAGACAGAGGCTCTCGCAGACTGATCTTCCAAGAATCTCTGGCTTCTTTCACAAAGAGAACTCTGTATAAATCCATTGACCACGTTTTCTGAACCAGAAATGAGGACAGACATCTGGTGAAGGAGGTGTTTTTCCTTAATTAATTTATACACAGGAAAGGGCTTATCAAGATATATGGTGATTACAGATTTAAGGAGTCATATTTACTGGGAAGAATTAAACAACATAAAAGACGATAGCAAGCATTTATGTATCCATGTGTTCAGCACTGGAATATTCGACGTTGAGAACTTTCTGGAAAATGG